AGTTTTATTATTTTAATTTCTTTTTAAAAAATCGCTTTTTATTTCAATTTTTATAGATATTTATACTGTTCTCTAAATTTGAATTAGTTAAAAAGAATTAATTTGATAGTAAAAAATCAGTCACTGATTCAAAAAGAAACTCTAATAAAAATTTTTGAAGCCTTTTGTAGATTTACTTACGTTTGAAATAAAATAAATTTAAATTTGATGAAAAAACGATTCGGGAAAATATTTTTTAATCTGAAAAAAATATACAGTTTTGATATAAAGTATTTTTATGTGCAGAAATTTATAGTAGGTACATGGTACTTTATAGTCTATAGAAATTTAGATTTCATATTAAAAATACTCTAAAAAAAAATTACTCATTTCTTCCATAAAAGATATATTCTGATGCATTCCATTAGCTTCATTTGATGGTTAACCTCCTTTGATAAGGCATATCATTAAACTACTAAAAGAGATATTTTATCTCTCCTTCAAAGCTTTCGATTCCCAAAGTAGATTCACAACTTTGAATATCCTAGTTATTTTGATTTGAACTTTAAAAGAATCACTTAATGCACTTTGTAAAAAGATACGGTGAAATAATGTTGCACTTTCATAATATTCTTGTTGTAGGAACATAAAACTTTTGTAGAATGTTAGAAGCATGACAAGCGTCCTCGCAATGTCGCGTGCTTTTCTCGGTATTTTAAATTACACTCAGTTGCAGAATGTTATAACAATAAATATAATCTTTTGTTAACAAGAACTTTATAGGTTTTCTTTAAATTCTTTCTTTTAGTAGGACAAATATTTATGAGAGATTTAATTAAATTCGTTGTTTAATTATTCTTCGTTTTTTTCAAGAATAATTTGTAATTTTACAAATTACATTTTTTTTATCCAATTATTAATTGTATTATAATTTTTTCATTTGAATAAAAGAAGAGAATTTGATTGAAATAACAAGTGTTCGATAAGAAATAAATATTTGATGATGGTTGTGTTATTTGAATTTCTTTTCAGTCATATAATAGATTTCGTGACATTTCGGTTGGAAAAAATAATTGAAGAAAAGCCGGTGAACTTTTTCCTTTCTCCTGCTAAATATAACATGAATCGTGTCAATAGATTTTGTTTAACCGAATCGATTAGGTTTTTCTTGGAGGTTGTTTATTGTGAACAAAATTTTAACAAGCTTGATTGAATATACTGTTTACAATATAGTTGAGGATATTGACCTTTCCACTCTCTAAATCTAGGAATATGTGAAATTTCACTTATTAAAAGTTGTAAGTCGTTCTCTTGTATTATATTTTTATTTGCACTTATTGGACTTTGGAGAAACAAAATTTTTGTTTCTCAACGTTTTTGATTCGTTTTCTGTCTCAATTTGATAACCTTAGAAAAACTGTGAAGCGACTTACAAGTTATAAATTTTGGTAGGTGAAATTTTAATTTTTGTTTAATTCAAATAATAAATATAGTAAAAAAAATTATCTGGTTGTAATACAGTTTTTTTAAAGATATCAAATTGAGACGAAAAACGAATCAAACCATTGCATCGCAACAATTTTGATACGTTTTTTTGCCTCAATTTTATATTCTTAAAAAAACTGAATAATTAGAATTTTGGTTATTTTATTTAGAATTCTAATTAGGGCTATATTTAATATTGTACTTCTGGTTAGTTTAATAAGATTTGTTGTTAATTTAACCAAAAATTCTAGTTAATTTATATAGTTCTAAATTATTTAATCAGAATCCTGGTTAGCTTAATCAGAATTGTAGTTAATTTAATCAGAATTCTAGTTAATTTAACCAGACTTTTGGTTAGCTTAATTAGAATGTAGTGTGAAGTATATTTGACACTATATTCTATAGGAAAAACATATTTTACCTGGAACAGCGATAATTTTCTTTAGACTAGCGAAAGTCTTAACTGAAACAACTAAAATTTTCGCTAATATAATAAAATTTGTAGTTATTCCAGACAAAATATTTTTTTTTTGCGTGTAGTTAAACTTACAAAAATTCCTATTTTAGTTAATTAGAATTATCTGGTTAATCTAACTAGGAAAAAAGTAAGGGTTTTTTTTAAAAAATTTCACTTTCAGTTAAACCGACCAGAATTCTGATTAAATTAACTAAAATTCTGGTTAAATTTAGAGGAATAATTGAGGGTCCCAATCAAAGAACCGGTTATAATTTTTTTAAGCTCAAAATCATTGCCCTGTATGAAAAAGTTAAACTGTTTTCAATCCCAATTTTTTTAAAAACATTTTGGTAATCTTTATACAAATACGAAATGTTTTCAAGAAATTGAAATTTTACAGAGTGTCTAACGTTCAGGGAAATTATAGGAAAGTCAAGAAAAAGTCAGGGAATGTCAGAGCATTTCATTAAAAGCCAGGGAAATTTCTAAAAATTTATACAAAAATAAAAATTTTTGTGAATAAAAAATTATTTTAATCTAACAAAACTTAGAAGATTTTTATTATCGTTTGTTTTTGTTGAATTTTAAAGTAATTCGGTGTTTCGAATTTTTGATAAATTTTGATAATTTTAGATTTTTTACCAAAGGGTGGAGATTATTAAATAAGTAAAATGTTTTTCAAGAGCCCAAAAATTAATGAAGATAAATGCTATAAAAGAGATGAAAAAATGTTGAATTCTAAGAAATTCGGTTTTTCGAATTTTTGATAAATTTTGATAATTTTAGATTTTTTACCAAAGGGTGGAGATTATTAAATAAGTAAAGTGTTTTTTAAGAGCACAAAAATAATGAAGATAAATGCCATAAAAGAGATAAAAAAATGTTGAATTTTAAGAAATTCGGTTTTTCGAATTTTTGATAAATTTTGATAATTTTAGATTTTTTACCAAAGGGTGGAGATTATTAAATAAGTAAAGTGTTTTTTAAGAGCACAAAAATAATGAAGTTAAATGCCATAAAAGAGATAAAAAAATGTTGAATTTTAAGAAATTCAGGTTTTTGAATTTTTGATAATTTTCGATAATTTTCGATTTTTTACCAAAGAGTCGAGACTATTAAATAAGTAAAGTATTTTCCAAAAGCACAAAAATAATGAAGCTTAATCCCATAAAAGAGAAGAAAAAATGTTGAATTTTAAGAAAATCGGATTTTTGAATTTTTTCGAATTTTTGATAATTTTAGATTTTTTACCAGAGAGTCGAGACTATTAAATAAGTAAAATGTTTTTCAAGAGCCCAAAAATAATGAAGATAAATGCTATAAAAGAGATGAAAAAATGTTGAATTCTAAGAAATTCGGTTTTTCGAATTTTTTATAAATTTTGATAATTTTAGATTTTTTACCAAAGGGTGGAGATTATTAAATAAGTAAAGTGTTTTTTAAGAGCACAAAAATAATGAAGATAAATGCCATAAAAGAGATAAAAAAATGTTGAATTTTAAGAAATTCGTTTTTTCGAATTTTTGATAAATTTTGATAATTTTAGATTTTTTACCAAAGGGTGGAGATTATTAAATAAGTAAAGTGTTTTTTAAGAGCACAAAAATAATGAAGTTAAATGCCATAAAAGAGATAAAAAAATGTTGAATTTTAAGAAATTCGGTTTTTTGAATTTTTGATAATTTTTAATAATTTTAGATTTTTTACTAAACGGTGGAGACTATTAACATGGTGTCTGACGGTCAGGGAAATCAGAGAATGTCAGAGAATTTTATTTAAAGGCAGGGGAATTTCTAAAAATTTTTGTGAATAAAAAATTATTTTAATCTAACAAAATTTAGAAGATTTTTATTATCGTTTGTTTCTATCATTAGATATTAATTTTTTTTTAAATATGTCAGTTACCATATTTTTGTCTAAAGAAAGCAGAAATAAAATAAGTAAAAAGTCAGGGAATTATTTTCTCAATCCTTGTTAGTCACCCTGTTTTAAATCCTTTTTTTATTTAGAGATCGAGAATTTTGAGTTTCAAAAACTTATAACCGGTTTTTTGATTGGGACTCTCAATTAAACCAGAATATTTTTTAGTGTAGTTTTAGTTAATTTTATGTCGAAGATAATTATTTCAAATTAAGAACAGGAAACACTTTGTAATAATTATGATTCGTTTTATTTATAACAAAATTTGTTTATACTTTTTAAATCTAAGTTAGTAAAAAGTTATGCTTATTAAATGATGAAAAGTTGTCCACCTTTAGTAAATGATAATAAGTGATAATTTTACTATCAATTAGTGAAATTCGACTAATTGTTAGTAAGATGCCACTAACAATAAGTAGATTTGTTTTATTAAGAGTTCACAAAACAGTTCTGCTAATTCATTTAGTTAATCAGTTGACTAGCAATTAGTGATTTTCTACTAAAATATTAATAAATATTCAATAACAATTGGTCATATTTTATTTTTACTAATTCAGATTTAGAGAGTAAAAATATAGCATCTTCTAATTTATCATCAAATTTTGAAGATTATTTTGGCTTTTCTTCGGCTGTCAGTAAATTCACTAATTTTCTTAGTAATTTTACAAGAAATAACTGAATCATTACACAGAAAAAACGGTAATCTAGTTTTAAGAAGCTCCTACTTAAATAGGAGCCAAGAATATTCTCCACTTAAATTAAGTGGCCTCACTTAATAATTAATTTAAGTAGGGAATATTCTTGTAGTAGGCGCTTCTTAAAATTAGATTATCGTTTTTTCTGTGTTCAGATTTAGAGAGTAGAGAGTAAGAAATCATCAGACGTTTCAACATCAACATTAATGTCCTCTTCAGTGATATAAAATCAAAAAAAATTATCCACAATGTTTCCTGTTAATAATTTAAAAATAATACAACTGGATGAAATTTAAAAATTTTGAAAGTTTTGATTGAAATTTAAATTTAAAATCAAGTTTGATTCTGAACATACATTTCTTTTCTCAGTCTACAAATGGAATGTTAATATATCACAAAGATTTGTTGTTAAATAATATGTGAAAACTCTCGTGCTGTTAAATGTTTTTCAAGAGGATACTCACTTGGCATTCTTTGGCAATGTGCCAGATGTGGGAAGTGTGTGCGTAGGCGTAAAACAAAGGGGTTGGTTATTCGCATTTTGTGGTACTAGGGGTTGTCTGGCGTGCGCCGGTGACGTGTGAGAACCATAACCGTCGGAATTTAGCTGAAAAAGACAAAATAAAAAAAAAGAGATTTTAGTCTCAAAAGGTTCAGAAACATTAACTCCTCAACGTCGTCGTCGTCCCTTTTCTGTTTAATATACACGTACACAATGTTGTATACTTGCACCTCAAAGGACCGTCTTTTTTTCCAATTTTCTCAAGTCACTGACTTTTTTCATCATATACTTTTTTTTTATTCTCTTTTTTTTGAATTAGCCATAAAGTTGTTCTTTTCATTCTAGTAGGCACTTGAAGTAAATTTGATTTTCTCTTTTTTTTACAAAATGTTTATTGTTTCATTTTCTCGGAGGGAATTGAAATTTATTTTCAAGCAGAAAACTTTTCTGAAAAGAAAAAAGAACAACTGTTGTTTTTTTTTTCTTTTCGAAAAAATTTTTCCAAAATAGTAAATTGTAATTTTTTTGAATAGTATTTTGAAATTCCAAACTACATCTTGAACGAAAGATTATAATCTTTTTGAACAAAAGATTATAATCTTTTGTTCAAAATTTGGAATTTTTTTCGAGACGTATTTTTTTTCTTTTTGTGGAGAGAAAAATTGGAAAAAAAAAATTTTTTTAAGTGACTTTAGAGATTTTACCTTGACAACGGTGCCGATTAATGAGTCAGGTGGCATTTCTGGTGGGTCAGGGATAACGCCGGGATTCGTGTGGGCTGGATAATCGTTGTGCAAGTGTGCTTCCTTAACAGGAGTGCCACTTCCGTCGAGACGTTCCATATCCAAACTGTCCGTTGGTGTTGGTTGCGAGAGCAAACGCTCCTTCATCTCGTGAAGATAAGGACAACGTTGCATCTCTTCAATATCACGGACTTTTTGTTGTTCTAAAAAAAATAGAAAATCGTGAAAATTTATTTACTTACTAACAAAATAAACAAGATTTATTTCTGTGCATTGTATTTTCATTAGAAAATTATTTTGGCGTTACATTTATTTAAATTTATTTATTAAATAATAGGTATTGTGAAAATATTATTTTTATTACTATTTATTATTATTATTATTATTACTATTTCTTTACTAAATTATTATTTATTATTTATTTATTTGGTAAAAAACAATTAATCGGTTATTTGAATAAAACTAGTTTGAATGAAATTAATTATTTTTTCAGTGACATTTAGTGGAAACTATTCCTGTAAAAAAATATAAATTTTACAAAACAGAATATTTTGTTCTTTTATTGTATTATTTTGTTTATTTCAAAATTGAGCTCTTTAGCTATTTATTTATCGGCTGATTATATTTTTGAAAAACTGTGTTTTAAAAATATTTTTTATTTTAAATATCGAATAGGCAAGTGAGTAGTTATTTTTCGATTAATACTTATTTGAAATTTATAAGCTATATAGCAGGTTATAAATTATGAATGCCTAAAACTTCCTCTTATCTTCTCACTTAAAGCCCCTATGAAAGAGGTCCTTTCAGATTTCAGAGTGCCTCTGAGTCTTGAAACTTGTTAGCGAGTGTAGAAGATTTATATTAGTTTTTAGATATAAAATGAAACTTTTTCATTTTCCTGTAATAAGTTATTAAATATTTCACACAGTTTCCGGTTTCTATATCTATATATTATATTATTAAATTAGATTAATATTTATTAATGTAAAAATATTTTTTTCGGAGGAAGAAGTTTAATTTATAGTAATGATAATAAAAATAAAAATAATATGAATAATTGTAATAATAATTATTATTATTAATTTTTTGTGAATAATATTTTTTTCATTAATAATTTTTACTATTATTATTTAGTCAGTAATTTAGTTACTCATTTATGGTACTAAGGACCGAGGAAATAATAATAATAATAATAATAATAATCATAATAAATAAAATATGGTTGATACTAAAAATAGAAAAAAATAAGAATAATGAAAATAGCAATATAATAAAAATTTATTATAAAACATTATCTATAAAATATTTGAGTTTATTTTTCTCGCATAGAAAAATATTGCATAATTTTATCGTTTTTCGTTAAGCAACAATGTACACTTATTTCATTCCTCGCAGACTCTCGCACCATAAATGAAAACTAGTTTGAAAATAATAAGTAGAACAGCTGAATCATTGATTAAACTTGAAAAACTGGTGCACACATTTATGACACTTTATATATCCCCTATTGTAAATATCATTTTTATTTTACTCTTTCATTCATTCATTCACTCATTATTGTCCTTGAAAGTTACTATTGCGTGCTATATATAACAGGGAACTCAGGGAAGTAAATATTTACTGTAAACAAACACGTGAAATTTTTGCTCTATTCTTATTTTAATGTTTTTTAATTTTAATATAATTATATCGAGAATTTATCGTAATATTTCCACTTTATTTATATTATATATCTTCGATATTATGAAATTTTTTTCGCTTGTTTTATTTTGTGCATAGGAAATTTCAAATTAAACTATTTTCAATATTTTTTCAATATTTAATTTTGTTTTTCATTGAATCGTTTTTTAATTATGTGGTCAATAAATAATTTGAATTTGTTGTTTTTTACTAATTAAAGAATGAGGATTTGTATACTAATTACAGTTATAATGATTTTATTAATTTTTCGTGAAAAGAACTACTAATTTTCTAGGAGAAAATTAGTAAAAAGTTGTAGTAGAAAATTACTAAAATTTGTAATAGAAAATTATAGTAAAATTTATAGTAGAATATTAGTAAAATTTTCAGTTGAAAATCAATAAGATTTATAGTAGAAAATAAATAATATTTATAGTGGAAGATTACTAAAATTTATAGTAGAAAATTAATATAATTTGTAGTGGAAAATTACTAATATTTATAGTAGAAAATTAATAAAATTCATAGTAGAAAATTACTAAAGTTTTTAGTGAAAAATTACTAAAATTTATAGTAGAAAATTTCTAACGTTTGTAGTGGAAAATTAATTACGAAAATTTATAGTAGAAAATTATTAAAATTTGTAGAAGAAAATAACTAAAATTTGTAGAAGAAAATAACTAAAATTTGTAGAAGAAAATTAGTAAAATTTGTAGAAGAAAATTAGTAAAAATTGTAGAAGAAAATTATTAAAATTTTTGTAAGAAAATTAGTAAAATTTGTAGTAGAAAATTATTTACATTTGAAGTAGAAAATTACTAAAATTTATAGTAAAATATCTATTAGTTGAAATAGTGAAAATTTACTATTTCAATAAATAAACATTTTGCCTTAAAATTAGTATTTTTTTCACTAAAAATTAGTAAAATTCTTACTAGTTAATTGGTGAACGAAGTTTCACTAATCGTTAATGAGTAGAAAACTACTAATTCAGATTTAGAGTGTTGTTTATTATATTTAAATTTATTTTTAAACTAAAATTTCTTGTACCATTTAGAGAATTCCTGGTTTTTGATTCTGAAAACCAGGACTTTAACCATGTTTTCACGCGCTTCGATTTGCTGACAGGTACCACTTCCTCCCCCATTTCATTTCTTGACAATACTGACAATATTTTTGCAAAAAAAAAGCAATTATTTTTATTTTTCAAAAATTTTTTTTTTTATTTTGATATGAAATTAATAAATATTTCGCTTTCACGGAATTTTTGATTATAATCGAAAAATAAGACTTGAGCGAGAAAATTAAACGGCACCCAAGAATCACGATCAGTTTGATACTGTCTTCGACACCACGAGACATCGTGAACCTGCTTCTCTCACTCTCTCCCCATAGAAGAGATCACCAAAGAAGGCGTCGCGATTGGCAATCACGTGGTCACGTTCCCGTATCTTTCCGTTCGAATATATTTTATTCAAAGAAATCGATACGAGACTTGAAAGCAAATGAGACTAATAAAGGAGGAATCGAATCAAATTTTTCTCTTTCTTCCTCTTCTTCTTATCTCTTGTGTAGGTTTTTTTGATATATGGTTTTTATTTAAGAATTGATTGAATTTTTACAAAAGGAATAATTAGCTGTGAAAAATTGTGCTTTATTCGATTTTGATGTCAAGTTAGAAAAGTGAATTAGCAAAAATTATGAAAAGAGAGAAAAATTTCGTTGCGGAATTATTTATTTTCTGAAAAGAATGTGACTTTTGATGGAAATTTTCTTTGCGGGGTATTAAAAGAATTGGGTATTGAATTAATTAGCTTGAATGAACTCTATCGATTTCTTATAAGAACAAGTTCGTTTTAAGAAGTGTTCTTTAATTTATTATCAATTTCTTCGTTGGCGCCTTTTTTGTTCCATCGTTTTTTTTATCGAGTGATATTAAAAGTGAACCAGTAGAGCTTGGTCCGGAGTATTTCAAAAGTATATTCGTTAAATTAATTATGAATAAGGAATCATTATTTAAATTATTTTTTAAAAATATATTTTCAAGAATGTACTTTTAGAAACGTTTTTTTAAAAATGCACTTTTAAAAATGTATTTTTAGGAATGTATTTTTAAAAATATTGTATGTTTAAAAATGTTTTTAACAATATATTTTTAACAAGTGAAGTTTTGATTACTACAATTTTTAGAATACAGTGGAACTCGAGTCGTTGAGACATGTTGGGACTCATGAATATTTCAAAAATGTTATTTGACAAAATTATTAAAAATAATTGTCATTTGACATAAAATTAATTTCATATAAATATTTTTAATGAAATTCATTTGACATAAAGTACTTTAGACGTGAAACTCATTTAAAATAAATTACATTAGACATGAAATTCATTAGACATGAAATTCATTTGACATGAAATTCATTAGGAATAAATGTCATTTGATATACCATTCATTTAGCATAAAATTTCTATTTAGCATAAAATTCCCATTTAACATAAAAATCACTTGACATAAATATCATTTAACATAAATTATAATTGACATAAATTTCATTTGACATTAAATTCATTTGACGTAAAATTATTAATTAAATAATGTTTAACATAAATGTTAGTAGACATAGAATTCTTTTGATGTAAATTTTATTTTGACCATAAAATTCATTTTGCAATAATTCAGTTTGACATAAACTTCATTTGATGTAAAAAGTTATTTGATATAAAATTTATTTAACACAAAAATTACTTCACATAGATTTGATTTTTTAAAAAATTCATTTGACATAAATTTTATGTGACGTAAAATTCTTTTGAAATAAAGTTTGTTTTGAAATAAAATTCATTTGACATAGTTTATTTGACATAAAAGTTATTTAACATAATTCTTATTTAACATAAAATTCCCTTGACATAAATTTCATTTGACGTAAAAGTCATTTAATGTAAACTTTCATTTGACATAAAAATCACTTTATACATAAATTTAATTTGACATAAAATTCATTGGAAGTGTAATAATTATTTTATTTCTTTTTGGATGCCACTTTTTTAAAATTTCATTTGTCATAAATTCACTGCACATAAATTTAATTTAACGTAAAAATCACTTGATTTAAATTTCATTTGACATAAAAATCACTTGATGTAAATTATGTTTTACAAAGAATTCATTTGACATAAAATTCATTTGGTATAAAAGTAAAGGTGCGAATTTTAAATGTAACCAGTTACACATTATCAAGAAAATTGTGATTGGCAAATTTTTTGAATTCGCGCCAATTGAATTTTGAATTTTATGTCAAATGAAATTTAATGTTAAATAGTTTAGAGTCAAATAAGATTTCTGGAATATTCATGCGTTTCGATATGTTCTTCTGCTTTAATAATCGAAGGTCTAGTGAAGAATAATTTTATTTGCCATTCTTTGTTTTATCTCACTTTGTTTATTTAAAGTGAGTGTTGTTGTTGATTATTTTTTAGAATGAGTTCCTTTAACTCTTGCTCTAATAAGTATTTTTCGACT